AAAGATCTAGTTGAGGACAACAAGTCGCTGCACGACACTGAATTATTTGAATGAAGCGACCAGTAGACTGCTCGTGTTTCCATTGGATACATTCGCGTTGCCATTGAGGACGTCAAAGTTTTGACGTCAAAACTTCGTGTCGAAATTTGCGTGGTGTCGCGCTGAACAAGGAAGCGTAGTATTGTTACGGAAATAACGTTACTAAAAATTGTTCCTCTGGCAAACGTTTGCTGTGGAAACAAACTGTTTGTGGAAAATTTCAAACACATTTCTAAGCCTCTGGGAAAAAACGAAAACAACAAATGCTACGATTGCGCAGATCGAAACGGCAAAGCAGGAAAAAGAGTTAACAAGACAATGTTTCTTTAAACATTTTCCTCGTTTCGAAACCCTTTAAAAGAGTTCAAAGGATGTTCATTTAGCATACACAATGATCCCAGAGACCCAGACGTCTGTTGAAATGGCCTTTTTCAGGCTGTTACGCGCACCGTTGGTTTTATTCACGTGATTCAAAAGTGATCACGTGATCAGGAATTTCATAATCGTGTGATGAGTGAATCTCTGGAGTCGGGAAGTTACTTCACCGCTTGTTTGTAAGTTTGTTGAGTTTCGCACTTTCTAGCAAGATACTATGGAAAATATGTTACAAAGAAGATTTAGACAGATGCAAAATCCATCGCATGGATAAGATTTGCCTCGAACTTGATACTTTTGAGGAATTTTGTGCTGGAAACTTTGGCCATTCGAGTCAAGAGATGTTTGTCATCACGTGATCGCTTTTTTGAATAACATGAATGAAACCAACGGTGGGTGAAACGGCTTGGAAAAAAGCGATTTCAACAGACGTCTGGGATCAATAGTATCAGTATTGCAATATGATCAATTGCACTCACCTTCCAAATTAACGGAAAGGTTGTTGCTCATTGCCGATGTTTTAAAGCCAGGGAAATCTTTAAATGGAAAAAGGTGGTTAGTTTGAAGTCAGTTGGCGGGAAATGCTGAGCTTTCCAGTGTAAGAAGGGCAAGGCGGGGAGGAGGACGGAATGAGGGTTTCTCCTCGTAGTATTTGYTTTGTGTACTGCTTTGACGGCTTTGTGCATTTCGAACTGAGGTTTGCAACAAATTAAAGCGATTATTCCAACTATATAGTTACTTTCTAGAGGAAGAACGACAACGAAAAATACTTGAATACACGAATCAGTGAACAAAGAGCGTTTGTAGATACCAGAGTACCATTGGAACGACAGGCCAGAGACAAGGAGACAGCTTCTGTGAGCATGCAGCAGACGTCAAAAGAATTGCAAAATCGACAATAACAAAAACCAAAAACCCTCTAAGAGGACATGAGGTTACTGGATAGTGAATAACCATAATCGCGCAAAAAAGAGTTGCGGAGTTTTAGTCTTATTGCAAAGCATTGTTTTGAAATTCGACTGCTTGACATTAATGTCCTCTGCGTCTTTGTGAGCAACCTTAGGGACCTCTAGCTGTGTCTTGTTATATGAGAAAAAAAGGAAACCTTGTCTACTCACCAAGGTACCGAAACGATGTCGCGTCATGTCGAAGAACGCGGCAAAACGAATCTTCAATGACCTACGTTATGACTACGTGCGGTCAGCGGTAAGAGATCGTAGTCATTCGTAACGCTCCTAACGCAATGTTTCTGCTAGTGTATTATTCTTTCTTCACACCAATAGTGATATGAAATTAAACAGAACCAATTTTAAACAGTAAAAGTAGTTATTTTCATTAAAACTCGCGTTTTAAAGATGAA